CAATACCTTTTTTTTTTTTTGGTACAAAGAAAGAGGCTAACGCCTAGTGAAATGTGGGACGCACGGTCCGCGGATAGGCTACTCCAACGAGATCATGCTGTAGCCATGGGCGAACCCCATCTGGCGGAGCACCAAAGAAATGATACCCCAACAAATCCTCCGCTGCGAAGGAAGCCAAAAAATCAGCCGCAAAATTCGCCTCACGGAATACATGTCGCACTTGGACCTCCCACGGTCTACCCAATAACTCTTTGATGCCCGACACCAAACCTAAATGGACTCCCGGCGCATCCTCCAACGATGTGGCAAACCTCACTGCACTCTCATTGTCAACTTCTGCTATAACCCGCCTGTACCCCAGATCCCACGCTAAAGATAAGCCCCGAAATAGTCCCCATAATTCGGCCGCCGTAATCGAGCACACGCCAATTTTCAAAGTGAAGCCGCCAAGCCAGTGGCCTTGTTCATCCCGAACCAAACCACCAGCGCACCCCATACCCGACCTTGCATTGAGAGAGCCATCCGAATTGATTTTAACCCACCCCACCGGAGGTCTTTCCCAACAAATCCATTGCGAGTGTCCCACGCAACCCGTACCCCCAAGTTTCCGATCACCCTTAATCACATGCATAAGCCCGTCGATATAAGCTGAAATCTCCTTCAAGCCCCCAGCAGCTTCTCGGATTCTACCCTCAAAGATCTTTTCATTTCTCCACTTCCACAATTTCCACACAACAACCCCAAAGATACAAGCCCAATTATCTACTCCTGTAGAAAAAGGGAACACCAGATTTGAAAGAACCCAATGATTAAAGGGTGCAGCAAAGAAATCATGCTTGCTGGGGCCAGGTAACAAACGGCGCCAAATCTCAGTCGCCAACGGACAGTCTCGAACCACGTGCAAGATTGACTCTTCGAGCCCACACGATTCGCATGACTCCGTCGCCGACAAGTGCCGCCGTCGACGTTCCACATTTGTTAGTAATCGGTTTTTAACCATAAGCCAAAGAAAGTTACGAATACGTTGTGGCCCCGGCCAGTGCCACACGGCTCTCCATACCTGCTGCCGGTCAAAGTCCAGAGTGCCGTCCCCATGTAACATATTATAGGCCGATCGGGTAGAAAATTTTCCAGTGGGCGATGGGCCCCAGTACAAACGGTCACAACCGAGCTCATCTCGCGGAGGTGGGATGGACGCGATCTGAAGTAATATAAAAGAAGGTAGCAGATGCGAGAATAAATGCCAAAGCCACTCGCCACCTTCGGATGCGAAGAAACGTACAGGTTTATCAATGAGATCTGATGGAATATTTCCATGCGAGGCCTGCAGCAGATTCGTCGTCGATGGTAACCAGTTGTCAGTCCAGAACTTAGCCAAATAACCATTCTGTATTGCCCAACGAGCTCCAGTCGTAACGTGAGTCAAGACTTTACCCACAGAACGAAGAACGACTGACCCGACCCTTTTGCGAGCAGCATGGCCTGCAAATGGAGTGTTTCCATACTTCTCCTTCCATATTTGGACCCACAGCGCATTACTATTCGTAAAAAACTGCCAGCCGAGCTTCATAAGAAATGCCTCGTTCATCGTTTTTTGGCGAGTCAGCCCCAGACCACCAAGATCCCGCGCCCGACAAATCTCATCCCACTTGACCAAACTAAGCTTCCTATTATCACGCGACCCCCCCAGATAAAACGTCGGAGCCGCTTCTCGATGCCCTCACAAATGGCTACCGGCAGACGAATTGATTGCATTGTATAGAAAGGAAGTGCGCTGACTACGGCCTTAGCCAACACTACACGACCCGCCATGGATAGAGCCGCTGCTTTCCACCCCGATAGCCTCTTGTCCGCCTTCTCGATAATTCTCTCGTATTTTTGGACCGTGGCCCGACCATGAATTAGTGGCACGCCCAAGTAGGAACCGAGGTCATCCACCATTTTGAAGCCCAACAGCTCTGAAAGATCCCGACGCTTGTCCAAGCCAACATTCCTGGAGAAGAAGACCGTGGTCTTGGGTTCACTCACTTTCAAGCCCGACGCTTGACAAAAAGAGGTAAGGACCTGCTTGAGTGTGAATACTTGATCAACAGAGGCTTCCAAAAAGAGAAGTAAGTCATCGGCAAAAAGTAAGTATGGGATTTTCACTCGTCCTCGACCCACGGACATCGGC